GGACATCCTTCTGTCCTGCTACATCCTAAAGGAATTTCTCTCCGGTGTTTATCCATTTAGGTGTACCTCTCTGGTACAGCTTCCTTTCAGAAGTCTCTTTTTATGTCATCCCTGAGGGTCCCCATGTGGGTCAGCCGGCTTCTCTTTCCACTATCTCTAAGTAGATTCTGCAAACTGTCACGCAGACCTATGAGTTGAAGGGTAAAGGTCTCCCCTTTCCAGTGAAGGCTTAATCTACTAGAAGCATTAGTGCTTTAAGAGAAGACCGCTTCTGTTATAGACCCCTGTTGGTGGTTTGTTTTTTGTTTTTGTTTTTTCAGGCCTGTTAGCTGCTCGTTTCCAGAATGAATACTTTGTCCTGTGATGTACAATCAAGGAAACAGGATTTTTATCTTGCCTGTAAATTCTATTTCTTAGAGCACATCACAAGAACCCCCACCTGTTTTCTGTGAAGCATTCTTGTCCTGCTTGCTACAAAACTGAGTTGGAATGGGGAAGGGGTTATAAATACCTGTCCTTAAGGTGATTGGACAATGGTGAATCAAAGCTATAAGGTTGCTGCGTAATCCATTGGTTGCAGAATTAACTGCCTGTGTCCTATGATATACTCTAAGAAACTCATTTTACAAGTAAGACCAGATCCATTTTTAGCATACATATTTGTTGCTCAAGTCTTGGCCATAACAATATTTGTAAATAATACAGGTGTAAAATGAAGTGTACAAAGTGAACCGGTATTCTGCGGTTGGTGGAGAATAGCATGACAAACTGCTATATTAAAGCATAATATCTCTGGGTAGAATTTCAAATTGATGGTAATAGTTCCATCTAAAATTACTTTGCGGTTTGTGTTGGAAAATTAATAAAATGTACAGAGTATAAGAAGGATGTTCATTTGAAAGGAGGCAGCATACGATTAATTCACATTTTCTAGCACCTACTGGCAAAAATCAATGTAAGGTTTTATCTACTTAAAGTGACTAGGTTTGTTTTCACTGTTCATATTTCTTCAAAAGCAAAGTCTTGGGATTTTTTTTTTATATTTGCAATTTTCCTTGGTGTTAAACAGTCATCAGTTTGTAAGCATGCCTCAAATATCTCATCTAATTTGTGTGTAGTGAGTAAATCCTCAGTTGGCAGACTGTAATATGTTTAACATGTATAACATGTTCTGACTTGACGTTTAATATGTGTATTATGTTGTGTGAATCCATTTTTTTTTTAAAAGATTAGCAAAGGAAAGAAAAAAAACGTAAAGGGAAATTGCAATGTTTTCTGTATTTGCCTATTTTAAATAATGTAATGCTTACACCAGGGTGTAGGTCAAGCCAAAACTTTTTTTTTCTATGATTTTGGTTAGTGGGAAAAGGATTGTAACCATATAAAAAAAATTGTTTTACCTCACCCCAATCTATAAATAGCTGCATGCACTACAAGAAGGATCACCTCAGTGCAAACCTCTTAACAGATATGACCAATATATGTGCCGCGCTTATATGTAAATAAATGTTCAAATATAGTTCAATCAATACTCTAATATGCAAATATGGACCTGCTAAATCCTTTGCTCCACTCTGCACCTCCAAACCTAGGAGCCCGAAGGTGAAGTCAGGTAGTGATGTAACGCGTAGGGAGCAGTTTGCAGATGCAGAGTGGAGTACAGGATTTGGCAGCAGCACAACTTAGTTCCTAATCCGGCCATTGCAGTAGAAAGCACTGGTTGTCCACGGAGGGGAAGTCCATGATCAGAGCTGCGCTTATTACTGCCTCCTTTTTATGTTTAAGGTGAAAGTGTTTTTTTTCAATAAAAGATCATTATTTTTTAAATGTTTATTCCTATTTCTAAATGTCTGTGGTGGGATGCTGATCTCTACATCTGAATTATGGGGAAGCAAGTGTAGATAGGATTAAGGATTATACCTGGAGTGTTGTGCCTGGTGAGTCTCTAACAAATTTTGACCTGTGTGGAGGTCTAAGTTTAAGGTGAGCTGCTCACTATGAGAGGTGGACCCTATGGTGGAAAATTGAAGGCGATTAAATCTTCATTAACTTTCTAAGGATTAACACTTTGAGACGGTCTATGTACTTTTTGCATGTTTGAAACATGTTTTGTATATATGTGTAATATACACTTTTGTGATTTTTTTTAATATGTATATTTGTATATTAGAGTATTGATTGAAGTATAGTTGTACATTTGTTTATTCAAAGGATTGGAACCCCTGCCTGTCTGGAGAAAAATTAGAGGTTTCTCCTCGCTTGCTTTTCTGCTTACAACATTTTAAAGAACTCTGGGAACATTTTTCTTAACCCTTGCATTGTGACTATTCCCGCATTGCAAGGGTTAAGTGCTCCTTTTGGTCTATGGAAAAGTTGTACTCTCCCAAATCTCTGGGCCAGCTGGCTGTTAGAGCGCTCCCTCCAGCCTGTCTTCTCCTCCGCTGCAGTAATGGTATGCCCCTTGGCCTCCTCATGACCTATACATGTATAGGACATGATTCACAGGACCTTAGACTACTGGAGCAGAGCGGGAGACAGGCTGAAAGGGCAGGTCTGGCAGCCAGCCGGCTCTGAGGAACAGATGAGTATAACTGTTATTTTTGCACCTAGACCAAAATGAGCACTTAACCCTTGCAGTGTGGGAGTAGCCCCATTGCAAGGGTTAAGAAGAAACTTCCTGGAGTTCGTCTTTAAAAGTCAGTAAGTGAGGGGAATTTGCCAACAGCAGCACAATTGTGGATTTTACCTCACTTTCTGCCTTGTAAAACCATTGGCAGCTGGATAGAAACTGAGGGAAAATCTCTTAAATACAGCCCTTGTTAGCAGTAAAAGCAGACAGGCTTGCGGTGGTCTGTTGACTCTCAAATTCTGCCCGAGAGTAAGAAAAACGTTGCCCTCCACTTATCTGGAAAGTTCTTCCAAGGAATGCCAGCCTGTAATGCTTCCCGATCGGTGCAAGGGACTTGTTGCTGGAGGAAGCTTGTTCCCAGTCAACATTCTGGAACTCTGTGCGATTCAGTGATCCCTTCAAGGCTTGACTTCTTGAGTGGAAGGTCATCTGCTCAAGATTCAGTCAGACAGCGCCACAGTAGTGCCGTACATTACACAGCAGTGCGCCGGAAGTTTCAAAGCTGATCAGGTTCTAGCTTGAACGGAACTTCACGTTCCAGCCCTGTCCGCCATGCCCGCCATGCATATCCCAGGTGAGGAAAATTTGCAGATGGACTTCCTCAGTTGTCACAACCTGGTCTCTAGAGGATTGTCTCTTCACCCGGAGGTGTTTCAAGACCTCTTGTCACAGGTGAGCATGCCGGTTGTGGAACTCCTGGATTCCAGGTACAACAACTGAGTATTTCTCCAGGTCCAGGGATCCTCTAGCCTCTGCAGTGGATGCTCTGCTGGCACCGTGGGATAGGTGAAACCTGATCTATGCCTTTTTTCTTCTCTAAAACTCCTTCCTCACCTGCTCCGCAGAATTTAAATGAGAGGCATTCTGGTGATTCTCATCACTCCAAAACTGGCCCAGGCAGACATGGTTTATGAATCTCCTCAGACTTCTGGTAGACTCTATGTGGGATCTCCCAGATTGTCTGGTTGTTTTTTTTTTTCTTCTTCAAAGGAACAGTTTACCATCCTGCTTTAACAGCCTGGCCACAGGCACCTATCTGATTTTATGTTTTTTCTAAGCTCTTGAAAGGTAGGTAGTTGACTTATCGCACCTGGACAACACATGACATATTACACTGTGTCATTATTTATTTTGCAAACATAGCCAAAATATAGAAGCCATGGGTCTAAAAAAAAACATGTCTTACCTTTTTTAGATGTTTTGTTGCAGCAGGCATGATGGGCAGATCAGGTTTTTCTGAGCACATTTATAGTGACCTGTCCTTATAAAAAGACTAATGTGTTTCTCCAGGGTTGTAATCTTTTAACCCTTTGTTAGGTCAGGTAGTGTTCAAATGTACTTTACAAACCATAATGAAATGAAACAGCACAGTACAGACAGGGTTGACACAAATCCCTCAACTCCTCCTCACAGGAGAAGCTGAGTAGAAATTTTAGCATGTAAAAAGCAAACTGCATTGAAAAAACATTTTTTAGCTTATGCGATGTGAATGGAACATGTAACAAAAAATGTGACTGCACAAGTGTAAATACATTTCTGTGGTTGTTTGTCATACAAGTTGATATGAACCACCAAAGAAAATGAATCACCACACCCCTATATTAACCTATTCAAAAATAGGCTAAGATGTAACTTAGGGTGCCATATTATGAATGAGAGGAACACAAATAAAATATTTCATAATTTATTGATAAAAAACATAGAAAAATGAACAACACACCCACTATATATAAAAACATATATCGTCATTAACTTTCTTACAATGTCTTCCATTTATTGATATCAAAGCATAGCACCTCCCCAGACCATGTATCCACATTGTCTATAACCACTAAGTAAACTTTGTCGTCATCAATGTAATAATCAGTTAATCAATTAATCATCACCAATTTAATCATCACAATAGACTGAACCTATATCCTAATATTCATGACAATAATCCTTAAGTCACATATAGATGTGCAGTGGGTCCAACCTTTTCTGGCGGTGTCAAAATGATTCGTTTTTAGGGAGATTGTGGACACAGAGAGTTTGGCCGGCACTGGCAGTAACCAACTATAAAGTGATCAGACATTTTTTGTTTACCCTTGCTGAGTATGTATATGGTCATTAATAAATGGAAGACATTGTAAGTAAGTTAATGACAATATATGTTTTTATATGTAGTGGATGTGGTGTTCATTATTCTATGTTTTTTATCAATAAATGTTATGAAATATTTGATTTGTGTTCCTCTCATTCATAATAAAGCCCCGTTTTTTATGTATTTTTCAATGGTGGTTTGCCTGTTTTAGATGCTGAGTATATACTGTAATGGTAGTGTGTTTTTGTGTGAAAGCTTACTTCAGAATATTTTTTGTATCATTAACAGCCTTATACAACACCAGATGAGAACAGCATTTCTACAGAATCCTTAAATGACCCTGTCATGCACAGTGTTACTGTAGATGATGGAAGTAATACAGAAGGAGCATCAGGAGCACTAAGTGCCAATGTTGATGCATCTTCTAGCAGTAAGCCTGTCTGTGATGGAAAGCTGAAAGGTATGTCTGATTCATTACCTGTTTTTATTATTAAAATGCTTTTTACACTATTGTGCAACATTTCAATTTAGTGTAATTGTCCATCTAGTTTTTGTTTTTTTCCAGAAAGTATGCATGTATAATAATTGTTGTTTTTGGACATGGGTTTCCAATGTAAAATAAAAGCCACTGTTAAAAACTTCCATGTGACCTCAGAACCAGTGAGAATTGGCCCTGTTTTTGCCTTTTAGCTGTTGAAAAGATTAACAGGGCTATTCACAAAAGGGTGACGTTTGTAGAAAGCAGGAGAAGTGAACAATCTAGGACAACACAGCTGAACTGGAAAGTGAGCTGAATTGGAGAATTTTTCCAAATCGGCTATTTGAACCTAGATTGTTCACTTCTCCTCCCTTCTCCAAACTCTTCACCCTTTTGTGAATAACCCTGTAAAAGTTGACCATATGCCGTGCTTTTGCACATACTGGGGCTTTACTAGTTTAGAGAGTGTGTGTGCTTTTCTGGAAATTGAAGACACAGAATACACTTTGACTCTTCCTTTTGTCTGGGTTAAAAGGAACAGAGTATAGTTCACAGAAACAGAAATCAGTATATCAACTGCCTGCCCTGTACATGTCGGTATTAAGTTACAAGCACATGGGACTTTTTCAGTGACATTGTTTGGGAGATGCGGACTACTTATGATTGTGTTAACACAGCATGGGATGGCTCTTACTAAAAAGGCCATTTGTGTACTTTGCTGCCTGCTGGAAATGTGACACTTGTACTGTATTTGCAGTGAAGGTGTCACTTTATTACTATATGAAATAGGCTATTGTAACACACAAAAGCTTTAATTGTCCATACTCCATAGAATGTCCATAGTCTCTTCTAGGTCGGTATATTTATTCAGACATTCAACTTGTATGGGAAAGAATCCAACCCCCAGTGTTTTTAAAGTTGGACAGCACCGTATTAGTAATGCACACATTCTTCTTTAAATGCTATGTACCAACTTGAGATGTTCTCCTTTGTGCTTCTAGTCTCATTTGCTCCAATAAGCTTTGCCATAAAGATGAAAGAAACAGATTTTCTGCCTCTTGAGAAAAACAGAGTTAAATTAGATGATGACAGTGAAGAGGAAGATGGGGATGGCAAAGACGGACAGCAAACCAAAACCAGCAGTTCTTCTAGTAATAGCCAGACCCTAAACACTGCAACTATTGTTGCTGAAGAAAAGAAACCACAGTTAACTCCAGAGGAACTGGAGGCAAAACAAGGTTAGTTGTTTTTATTATTTAGAGCGATTCTTCTATTCATGGACATGACAAAGACCCTGGCAGCTTTGCTGTTAGCTGCACATGGCAAACACAGCAGTATGTTAGGGCTGTGTTTTAATTATAAAGGAAGTTTAACATTTTGTACCACTGAAGACCTTGATGGACTTTGAAGGTATTCAAACAAGTATTTATATTATTTTCTTCAGTGTTTGTCAAAACTTGGCCATGACCACAAAAGTGAAGCATGCAATGAAGCTTTCTGGGCCCCAGATGAAGATTTTGATGCCTGCAATTTTATATATAAGTTAAAGGGGGTCTATGATGGTTATAGGTCACTTTAATTTATTTTTCATTTTAATCGGTTTTATCTGTGTTTTCAAGATGTCTTTGTTTTGCAGTTAAATAGTTAATACGTGACTGAGGGTTGTCAGAGCGCTATAGATCATCTGAGGACACGGCACAGCAGTGCTGGGAAAAAGAGCAGAGAGAAAGGTGGCACATAAGCTATTTGCAGGAATTCTCCAGTACTGCACACAGGAAACAGAACATGCCCTCCTGCACAGAACTGAAAGGGGGTCTGAGCACTGAGGGGGGTAACAGACAGGGAGTTAGGATTATGCTTACTGAGAGTATAACCTGAATGGTGCATTAAAATGGTATTAACCTCTCAAGCTTTTTAAATTATGAATCCAGATCAAACAAATATACATTGTCCAGCAGAGTATTCTTTACATTTTGGCCCAAGCACTTAGTCATCATGTTTCCAAACAGCTGTCTCCAACTCTCTCCGCTCAACTTCCCTTAATGTCCTGTTGAGTACAAGTTCTCAAGGGACAGAGCAGTCTGCAGCAGCCATCCCTCTACTAGTTTGGTGAAGGAAGGGTGGGAGGGATTAAGAGCAGGGCAGTGGCTTGCCTTGCTGTGACTTTGTTTGTGGAAATACACTCAGCTTATTAACACACACAAGCGTGGCTCCAAAGGACCCTGCGAGGGAGAGCGGCCACCCTAAACCAGGATATCAGGGCCAGTACTCAGAGGACAATCTGACTGCAGGGAGCTAAAACTTTTAAACATCAAGGAGCAGCATCCATTGTAAGTTATCCAACAAACATTTGAAATAGCTGAAAAACCTTTTGACTTTAATATTCCATTATGCCTCTGGTTCTTGAGAGGAAACAGGAAGCACCTTAATTATCACTTATATTGCACTTAACACTAGCTTCTTAAGGTTGATTTAATTATTTTTACACCACTGGGTTCTTTCCCATTTTTGCATCACCCGCTGTATTTACAAAGGAAGTGTGTGTGTTAATAGGCTAAGATTTACAAAAGTAAAAAGCAAGATCTTCTTATGGGGTAAATTTAGTAGATTAGAAAGGTGTCGGAAAATGATAATGGAGTCTGCCATCTTGGATCGCTTTAAATTTTTAGTTACTATGTGCCATACTGACCACTTACTATATGGTTATTTCAGGTCATTGCCTTTTATGTATTAAAGCCAGAAATACCCTGGCAAATGGCACAGCATTCCATGATTCCCAATCATTAGAAAGGAAAATGCCTTTTGACAAACCATTGCATTAGTTTTTGCTCATGCGAAGCTGTTAGTATAGGTAAAATTCATACTTAAACATGTTTTTAATTAACCAACCACGTTCACATTAAATACCCAGATGTCAAGTAATTTGGGGTTATGTCCATTTTTATTTTCAGCCACCTGTGGAAAAACTTTATTCTTTACTGTTCAAAATTTTACAAACTAAATTCATATGTTTTCAGTCAGAATATTATTTCTAACTAGATTGTTCTGCTTATGGTACACTTAGGTTTTTTCATTTTGCCTTCGTGATTGCTGGTCATAACAGAAAATTTTAAATGTTTTGTGCTTAATATGTACTAATTCTGAAGAAACCTGCCAGTCTTTAAAAATGCAATTTCATTTTGGCACTGGAGAATTTAGTGTCTGGTGAAAGTATGCTTGTACCTTCATTCTTTTGATGAACCTGTGTTTCCTTTACAAAATCTTAGATGGAAAGAGCCACATTAAGAGGAAATAAAATTGCAGCACTCTTGAGAGCTGCCACACAACACCTGTATTTGTCTACTTTTTGCTTTCATTGCATTCTAGTATACTGACTTGTGTGTCGGGGGTATCGGTCAAGCCAATTAAACATCTGGGCTCAGAAGCAGAAGTCTACAGCTTGAAGTCATTTTGCCCTCTGTTCCTAGAGTCTTTTCCATCATCGGAAACCTCCATTGGGTGTGGCTGGATCCTTTAATCTGAGGCTTATGCTACCGACATGCATTACTTTATGGCCTAAATCACCCAATTATTTTCTGAAAAAAAACTAAGGGAGGCGGCGCCTTCTCCTCGTGCATGAACATCTATTATAAATAGATTCAATCCAGTGTAAGAAAACTACTCGCATGTAAAATATGGAGTCGTACACTGTAAATATATGGCAGGAAACATCCAAATTACAGTGCAGAACATCATCTAGATATAGGACCACCAGCTGATGCGTTACGGCAATATGTTCCCTTAAAGCCAAAGTATTCCTTCCACAGGAAAAACGAAATTGTCTCCAGCATACCATATGAGCTCAACTGTCCCAAGAGTTGCACAACTCTCCGCTTTTGCATGTTCTGGGCCTCCGAGGTGGTCCTATTTGTCTAGTTACACTCAGACCCCCACAATGCAGTATTCTGTCATTGTGGGACAAGTAAATCTGGTCCCTGAGAATATGATTGTCCCAGGTTTGGGGCTCAAGAATCTGGCTCTGGAATCAGCAAAGTCTTTTCTTCCCATCTTTTTGGAGGACCCTAATGGCAGATGCCAGTCTGTCAGGCAAGGGATGAATCTTGGGCATGCCTTGGAGGCTTGGGCAATTTGGCTGTCTACAGTACTGGGCCATCCTGCTGGTGGGTGCAGTTGGACAGAGCCACTGCAGTGGCATACATCAACCTCCAGGGTAGTGCCAGAAATCTTGCAACAGCAAAAAAAAAAAAAAGAGATCAGATCTTATCCTGGGCAGAACTTCACTTTCCAACCTTTTTATGCTGTGTATATACCAGACATAGACAATAGGCAGGCAGACGTTTTCTACACACAGCACCTGGACCCGAAGGAGTGGTATGTTGACCTGGAAGTATGCCCAGCCGATGTTCCTTGGATCTGCCAGATCGTCAGGATCTCCTGTCCCATGAACTGATTTACCATTCTGCTTAATGGTTGCTGGCTTTTGGCTGTTATAACCCATGTTCTAAGGGGCATACCTTAATCTGTAAATCCTATGATGCTAACAGTAGTTATAGCATGAGACACGGAGGTCATACTTAATGGGTGTCTTGGGATTTCTTCCAAACAGTTCTGGACTAGCATTTGGCCCTCACCACTTTCAGGGGCCCAGTTTCTTCCATTTTTGTATGCTTTTTCAGAGACTCTTCATGACCTTTGTACATTTCTCTCTCTGCTTCAGAAACTGCAGTTTGAACCTATTAGTGTTTTTTTTTTTTTTAGGGGCGGGGGGTTTCAGAAAGACAGAGTACTATTTGTCATCCTGTTTGGACCCCACAAGGGTGCTTCAAAATATTGTTCCACCATTTTAAGGTGGTTCAGACAATCCATCATCCAATCTAATGTTCTCGACAATCGGGCTCCACAACACTCCACTAATCTATGAGCACTTCATTGGCTTTTCAGCATCAAGCAACTGGTTTCCAGAAAATCAGCACTCAAGTTAATGCTAGTTTCTGTGGTATGTTTAGCCATTGATTTCTCGTGGTCACTGAACCAATTTCATGTAAATTTGGCTTGCACTGATACAATACCTAACATAACATAATACACATTTTTTGTTCACATTTTGTTTTACAATGGCAACCTTTTTTAGAACTTTTATTCTGTGAAGTCAGTAGTGATCGTAGTAACTACATTTTGTACTGCCCAGCTAAAACTTCTCCACCCCTTTCATTTTCCCTTTACATGAAACTTTATTCTAATGAATTGCTTAAGGCTACATTATTATTATTACATAGTATTTATATAGCGCCAACAGTTTGCGCAGCGCTTTACAATATAAGGAAGACATTACAATTCAAGACGATGGTAAGGAAGGCCCTGCCCCTGAGGGCTTACAATCTGAAAGAGGAGGGGGAAATGATACATGAGGAGGTAGCTGTGTGGAGATGAATGATTTGAGAATGTGAAGGTACAGGGGTTAGGTCGAGGTGGGATAGGCTTCCTTGAAGAGATGAGTCTTTAGGGAACGCCTAAAGGCAGTCAAGGTGGGAGATAGATGGACAGGTTGGGGTAAAGAGTTCCAGAGGATGGGAGAGACTCTAGAGAAGTCCTGGAGGCGAGTATGGGAGGAGTGGACAAGGGAGCTGGAAAGCAGGTGGTCAATGGATGAGCGGACGGTTAGGGTGATACTTTGAGACAAGGTCTGAGATATATCCGGGGGCGGAGTTGTGGATGGCTTTATAAGTGACTGTTAATATTTTTTATTTTTTCCTCTGGGCGAGTGGAAGCCAGTGTAGGGATTGGCAGAGGGGGGATGCAGACACTGAGCGGTTGGTAAGGTGAATGAGTCTGGCAG